TATATATATTATAATAGTATAATCTAGTTGGTTTTGTTCTGCGTAGTTCCTTTCTTCCCCATAATTATATAATTAAGTACATCTTTAGAGCAAATGTGTACACCTAGTTAGGTTGCAGCGGTGTCGCTTTTCCCATTTCTTTTTCTCCGTTACATCGTTTTTTCCCGTTTCACCGGACATCGTCGTCACCAGACGAGAAAGGAGTCTTTCTTGATACCTTCTTCCGAACGACTCGTTAGACCGAGTAACAAAAGAACGCAATTCCCCTCTCGCGATCCGTTCGTCGCGCGTCGCGTCGCGTCTTTTCGAAAAGCCGTGCCCCTCGTCGACGATTGACTTCCGGACACGAAATCCCGCCGCAATTCATGTTCACCGCGCCGCTTCCAACGTGGTCTTGAAAGCCACCGTTTTCCACTTTTTGTGCAGTTTCCTTTTTTCCCCTCTTTTTCTTTTAGATATCATACTTATGCCGTGTAAAAGACTGAAGAAAGGATCTGGCGGTATTGTGCGATCGAGAAGGAATGTATCGAATAATTTCGCGGTCAGATGAATTTCCCAGGGTTCACCGAGGGGGGATGCAAAGTCGTGCGATGGTCGCTGATAAACGTGCGGGCATCTCTCGTTGAAATGATCGGAACTCTGTTCAAGCGGGGATCGTTTTCCCGAGTGTTCCACTGTACATAAGTAAAATATACGTCCAACGTTAAACCGATAGCATTTTGTTCTTTCGCCGAAGGGAGCTGGAGGGGAAGAGAGAGAGAGAGGGCTGGGAGTGTAACTTAACGCCGCGCGCTCGCAGAGACCGTGAAGCGAAATAGATCAGATGAAAAAAATTGGATATTCGAGACTCGTTTTTCGTCGCTCACGTGTGTCCTATTGCGTGGAACTTATCAGCGATTCGAAGTGTGCATGTAGGTAGGTACACGTGTCGTAAAACGGAACAAGAGAAACAACGACATACTACACATGTTTTCCTCTCGCGTCCTTTCAGCGAGCTTTTTAGTCCCCTTCGCGCGAATTTTCTGTTCTCTCGGCTTCGCCCCCGTTCGTTCGCGACATTTGAAACGCTCGAAGTGCCGGCTCTCCGTTTCCAATCCGAGCTTAAACAACGTATAAAGACAGCGTGTGCATCTTTGTCAGAGCATTAAAAGAGAAATGAAATGACATGTTCCGTCGAAGGGGTGAGGTCTGGGTGGATAGATTAGGATGGACGAGAAATAAGTCGCGATTATGGCAAGTAACATCACGATAGCGAGTAGCTATGGTAGGAGCTCTTACGAAAAGTTTTCAAACTTCCGACAAATCCCTTATAAAAATGATATGATATGCTCGTTGGAAAAATAAATTGTTCATATAGTTTCTATGAATATAGATATCCGTACACAAACTTTCAGTACTAAATATTCGATCGGTCGGTATAACTCTAAATACATAAATACATACACAAGATCCTCTCATTACTTCGTAGCGAGTATAAATGCGCAGTCAATTACGAGATCATTCATCGAGAATTAATATCCTGCCGGATCATTGCACGTACACGGTGGCGTTCGAATTGACCAACGATTCTTTACGTCCGCGCGGCCGTTTCTGGCCACGATCACGAAAAATAGGATACACGCGCAGCGCGTGCGATACGTTTATCCGCGAGCGCGTGTAATTCCCCCGGTGTACAACGTAAAAAACCGTCGCGTCAATGGATTGGCCGATATCTCTATGCGCCTGTTGCTTAAGACCTATGCCATTTCTAACAGTTAATGTTTAAAATACAACAACAGTAGAGCAGTTGCCTCCGATAGCTTACCGGGCGGTACACCTAACATGCGAGATACTGATATGGGAAATCAGTTTCGTGTTTCGCTATTAAAATATAGAGTAGAATTCAACATACTAATTTGCATAAAGGCACGTAAAAATCAGTTTCTCTATGAAAAGAGTGATTGCACAATAATTCTTTAAAAAATAACAAACGATATACCTCAGAGGTTGATCGCTGCGCATTATTTAGAATAGTCATGTTATCCATCTGTTATCGTTCATCGCGCGGATGGCTGTTCTCACCACAGAATAATGATCGGACACTGTATGTATATGTAAGTACACGTGTCTCATGCACATACACATGTACTTCATACAGTCTGTATGCGCAATGAATTCGCATACAAATCTATATGCATGCGCACACATGTATACAGATATGATATTATACCGTACTTAATGGTGAAGCACTATCATAAGATGCGCGGCAATGTCCTTACTAAGAGCTAAGAGTTTATAGATTGATTAGGAAGGAACATTGTGCAAATTATTACAGGTTCGTCTTTTCCTTATAGTGTTCTTTTTTTTTTGTTCTTTCTTTTTGCTTAAAAATAAAATCGTGAGACTGGGCAAGTATCGTGGTCTAGGTTCAGCCCGATTTACGCGATACCGATCCAGGAATATTTTCACGTACTTCGAATGACTTCGTGTTTCCGAATACTAATTACGAAAACGGGTCCCCAACACAAGAGACACGGTCGTTACGAATAAAAAATATACATTTATGAGATCAAACGTTGACTTTAAGATTCTTTTAAAAGTAAGGAAGTAATAGGTTCCATTAAATTAACACGTTCAACAGATCCAAGAAGTTACGTTATCGGGCCGACCTGCGCATCAACGAGAATTATAATGATAGCGAATATAGTCGGCGTTAGTTAAATTTATAGTAGTAATAGTGGAATAGAATAAAATAGAATAAACGTCAAAAAAGACAGCTAAAAGTATAAAAAAGTTCCCTTGTCCTGCTACTACCAACAATAAAAATAATAATTATAATAATTATTATAATAATTATAATAATAGTAATAATAATAGTAATAATAGCAGCTGCAATAATATTATTATAATTATAATAATTAGCAGTAATAAGTGACAAATATAAATTAATTCTTTTCCACATTTACCGAGAGTGTTCCCGATAAATTGAACTGTTTCTTCTCTTTCTTTTACGTGTATCTTTCACCTACCAACATCAGCGACATGTTGTAGATACAAAGAGTTTAACTATTCGATAAAGCGTCCCGCACTCTTACAAATTTTGTTGGCTTTTAAGGAGAGTACTAACTAGTTGGTGCATTAACGTTTCACGATGCCAATGTCATGTATGGGGACGGATATTATAATACGACGCTCGCGCGGTCACATAAAAATATCGAATCGGTTTATCAAAAATCGAAATATCGTTAAAAGGATACGCTGAGGTCCGAACGTCGCGAAAAAAAGTATCGGCGACGGTCCGTAGTAATTTTTACTCGAAGCTCGCTATATAGGATAGCATATATGCATTTTATATGAGTTGCGAAGCGTTTGCGAGAAAAAGACAAAAAACGAAAGGGAAGTAGAGATAGAGATAGAAAGAGATAGAGAGAGAGAGAGAGAGAGAGAGATAGAGAGAGACAGAGAGAAGAAAAAAAAATTTGTAAAATGGTCTTTCGATTGGGAACAATGGAAAGCAATGTGAGCTAGTACTCCACTTAATCACCACACAAAGAAAGGGGATGGTGAATGCAGAGGAAGGTTAGTAATTTAAACATCACGATGATCCCATTCCAAATCATGAGGCGAAGTGTGGCGACGATGCCGACCATTGCTCAACTCGCAATCATTCTCGCAGTCGGAGGTATCTAAGTCGTCGTCTCTGTATGATCCATCCTCCGAATCGGAGCTACCGGAATCATCGACATCCTCGTCTCTCTGGCTCTGATGATGAGAATCGTGTTCCGTGAGCCTCTCCATCGGATTTACGGTAATAGCGAGCGCGGAATCGTCCCAAGCCATCTCAGTCTCGGCGGCCAGTTCATCGCCAGCGGATCGTCGACGTTTCGCGGCTCCCCTAACTCTGGCCGCTCCGACCACGGCCATCAACAGCAAGAAACAAATGCAAGCGGCGGCAACGATCGTCACGGCATGACTACCACCCGCCCCGAAACCCCTATTCCCTTCGCGGAGGACAGTCGTCGAGTACTCCTCCGGCAAGTCCGCGTGATGAGGAGACAACTGTACGTGACCAGCGACAGGCTCCACGATTCTAGCGATAGGCGGCTCGTCCGGAGTCGAATGAGGAACGGCGGTGGTTTTCTCTTTCGGATGAATAACGGCCAAGGTCTGCACGTACTCGTTGCTGGCGAACCGACCGCTGAGCTCGGAACAGGTCAGCTTGAAAACGCGGTCGAGATAATAAGCCGGCTTGCGGTTCGTGTACATGATCAAACGTATCAATTGCTGATAATTGTAAGGTGTGTCCGCGCCGGAAAGCACGACACCGTCGCGATCGACGCGCGCAGTGATAGAATGGAATCTACGCAGAGCATCGCCAGGTAAGCCTAAACTCTCGTGGTCGGGGTTCAGGCTGGGATACACGCTGACCGCGCACGCATCCAGCCTAGCCGCGGAACCGGCAGTGACACGAGCATCCGGGAACACGCGCACGCCCAAGCGGAAGTCTGCGTACTCCCTAGCTACGTAACCGGTGCCGTTCACGGTTATACCAGGGCGCGGTGGCGGCAAGACTGTAACGTACGACTGAACCGTTGGCACCGGAAGCGGATTGTTCTCGCTACCCTCGCATACAATCGTAGTTTCTAGACGGAAATTGCGACGGCCCGGTGTCGGGAAACGCCTAGAGTTGAAATAGCCGATACGACGGAGGAGGGTCTCGACGTTGGTGCGATTGTCTCCGTCGATTCGTACCTCGGTTAAATCGGAATTGGTCAGCAGCTGTGTTCCCGGCTGGAGAAGGTCCATCGACGGCACGCGGATACCTTCCTGGCAGCGGCGCAGACAAGACAAGACGTCCGGCTTCTCGTTCCGACCGACCAGAACCGAGAGTCCAGCCAGATACCCGCGGAAGTGGTGTTTCGTTTTATTGTCAGAGCCTTGCCAGCACGCGCCGACGACGAGGGTCGTGTTGACGCCTTTCGCGGGATGCAGCGGCCAATCGTCGATCACTTCGGGGTTCTTCTCGTCGGTACGCCATTCTTCTCCGTCGACGTATAGGGTGACGTGCGGGAAATCGACCTGCACCGCGTAATGATGCCACTTGTCGTCGCACACTTGACTAAGCTTCCAACGCCATTCGGCGGGCCGGAAAATGTTAGGGTCGCCTTCCGAGAAATCACGCCTGAGTAGCAAAATCAGTCTGCAGTTTCTGACGAACATGGCATAATGATGTCTATTCATTTCTGCAAATTCGAAGAGTTAATTAGTCGCGCGGGAAGCGAGCGGGGACAATGAGAAGAAACAAGCGAGAGACAATAGAGGAAGGAAAAGAAGCAAGAAACTTACTGTGATCGTCGGCCGCGCATAAAATGTGTTCCTTAACGTGGGGATCTTGCCTGGGGCGGGGTCGATGTTTCACCCACACCCCGATGGTGAATTTCTGTGCCAAGGTGTGCTCGAGCACATCGCTGGGTACGATAGCTGCCGAGTCGACGCCGTCGAATTCGAAGATTTCGTCAGCCTCCCTGCCTTCGTCTCGCGACAGAGACGCTGTCCAGGAAGTCATGGGCCCAGGAGTTGGCAATAAATCGACGCTGTCGCGGGACGCGCCGCACAATTTCCGTTGACTGCGTACGCCGTACGTGTCGCGGTCGCAGCCTTTTCCTATGTGGTCGGTGGCGAGGGTTAACGTGGCTCTGACGTTACGCAGGATACAAGGAGCGTCGCAAAGGTCCAGCCTGGCGGAGGGAAGCAACGGCTGGGAACATACGTCGGCGGCGTAATCAACCCTTTCCGGGATTCCTCTCCAGCCGGGGGCGCAGACACGGTTCACCTTAACGGTTACCATGGCCGGGGCGGATTGTTTCATGCCACAGTCGTAAGCTACCACGCTCAAGATGTAATTGTGCGAACGCTCGTAGTCCAATGGCTCGGTGTTGCGTATGGCTCCTTCATTGTCGATGATGAACGGTTGATCGGCAGTCAAGATCTCGTATTTGCAGACATCGCCGAACTTCGGGGTGCAGTCCCTGTCGGAGGCTTCGACGCGGACCACCTCTTCGTACAGACGACCTTCGTCTACCGTGCTGACATAGGCTGGTTGCAGGAATTGCGGTGCATACTCGTTCACGTCCACAACAGTAATATGCACCGTCGCGCTAAAATGAAATGGAAATGGTTCTTTAATGGCGTCCCTCGAGCAACGCGTCGAACAATCGTATCATGTTTGCCTAACAGCGCCGAAATTAACGCTCAGGACCGATGCTTCGGCGTACGAACTTTTAACTATAATCTGCTTTTCGGGGTAACTTGTGTTTCAGGTTTATTTATCTGGGTTTATCGGTCCGTTCGCGGTGGATTGTGATTCTATTGCATTAATGGCCCGTTTTCTGTAACTAATAGATACGAAGGCGGGCTCGAAAGCTTTCGCGTAATAATAATGTTATGAAACAATAGGGGTATGTAGATCGTTGGCTTTATATTAATACATGCCTCCACCAGGCATTGATAATCAACGTAAAACTAATGAATTTATACTTGAAGGAACTGTATGTAAGCAGAAACGTTTAAAGTAGATAATAAGACAGATTAATATATAAACATATTAATACACATACGTAAAATTAATATGTTAATGGAAATTCTGAGAAAGTACTATAATATAAATTTATAAATAAATAGAAAAATTGAATCTATAGTTGCTTTTACAAGATAGAAGGACGAAAACGTGGATTAAAATATTGGCATTTGAAGGAAAATATTTCGTGTTTTTTTAAAAATACACAGAATGCCGGTGTGCGATTTTACAAACAAAAAGAACTCCATATGGGAAAAGTATCATATGGTCTGACGAGTTGAAATTCGAACTATGGAACAAAAAGGGAAGAAGCAGAGTGTCGTGTAAATCGCCGAACCGCTTCAGCATCCGAAATATTCAGTGAGCCGTTAAACAGGGTGTCGGCTCGATAACGCTTGGGGGTTGTTTTTCTGTAAAAGGTATTGTGAATTTAATAAAAGTTGATGGTGCAACGACCGGGGTGTGCTACCTATGCTACAGCCTCAAATAAAATTTTCAAGTATTTTCAATTGTACCGTTAACAAAGAAATTGAAAAACATGTTTGCCAACGAGGTAACGTCAAGAAGAACGCTTAAAATAACGTTCAAATTTTGTAGAAAGAATAACACGCTGAAAATAAGAATTTTGGATAATAAAATATTATTCTTGTTAGAAAATGAAATACGTATGAAATGTTTTTAGGAATATTGAACGATAAATTCAACGACAAACAACAATTTCACGTCGATTTTTACTTCGAAATTAAAGAATTTATGCAAAAATATTGCAATAATCAAATTTGAATAAATGCAGACATTTTAGTTAGGTCGTTGCCAACATAAGAGTTGAACTACATAAGAATTCGATAACAATCATCGAATTTGTCAGAATGAGGACCGAACAAATTTTTATTCAGTTGGTATACACGCTCATTAATATATCTATTGTCTGATTAGATGCAGTATTTATCAAACATTGATAAAGTTTTACGATTCGCAAGCTACGCAATATATTATTCCAGTTTTTCTAAATACTGTAGTAACGTATAGAACGTAAACAAGGTTTTTATTAGCAGTTCTCGCGAGTGCAGAGGCGCCAGGAAAATAGTTATGTTGCAGAGGAAGAATTCGTTGAACGTTGCATTCACTTGGCCACTTGCTGCAATCGTATAATACACCTGCTACAAAAGTAAGTAATAAAAGTGTAGTATCACTTGCAGATGCCTTTTCAACAAAGAAATGTTTACAGCTGTATACGAATTCTTCGAAATAAAAAAGTTTTATTCAACTTTTGAAATGTCTGTTTAAGGCAACAAATGGAAGAATACAAATGGGCCAACATTAAAACTTACAATCAGATTTACAGAACATAAAAACATTTTATGGGAGTTTCTTTCAACACTAGATTTATGGACATTTATTGTATTGTTCTTAGAACAATGGAGGACCTATAAACCTTAGAAATTAGAGCTTCAAAGACAAAGGATTAGCATACATGATTTTACAATTTCATCAATCAAAATTGACAAGCATTTATTAAATAATGTTTATGAAAATTAATGTATAATAAATTAATATTCTATGAATTCAATGCTGAGCAATGTTAGAAACTGTGTTAGTACGGAAAGTTAACAAACTGGCATTAATTTAACTTGAATTACAATAAGAAATTAATTTTGAATCAAGTTAGAAGTCAAATATTAATTATTGAATTGAATTGAATTAATTTGAATGAATTAATTAAGGATCAAGAAATTAAGTTTGCGAGGCTCGGTAGTTCGTGAAGTTTTCGGGAAATTTTAAATAATAATTATTTTACTTTTATTATAGACATAATTGGAACTTCTCACACGTTGATTATTTTAAATTTGTTGGCAAAACTTTTATCTTACACAAACGGTATTCCTTATAGAAAAGTGAAACAATGTTAGCCATTTTCTACTGTGACAGATTATTGCAGAACACAAAAGCGAAAAATGCACATTGGTTGAAAGGAATATACAATTTTTTTCATTAGGGTAATTAAAACGTGAAATTGTTTATCTGATACGTGAAATGAAAAACAAAGGGTACGTATCACCAAAAAATTAAAAACACGCCTTCCCCAAACACTTTATGTAAAGCTTTTGTCTGCAGAATGCCCAACAGAATAAAATTTTAATTACTTTCTTTTGCATAATGTGCCTTTTCCTTTGAACTCATTTTAATTACGGAAAGAACATGATAAGAAAATAAGGTATTGTTATACACGATTTGCGTGTTGCATTGTGTCTCTCTAATAGAATAATCTATATCCAGTAAAAGACTAAAAAACGTTTATGAAATAACATTATTCTGTGATGTAATGATCAAATAAATAGAAGAAGATACAAAACTATACAAATTTTACAATTAACGATTAATATCGTCAAAACCTTGTATTTTTTTTATAAAACTACACGAATATCGCTTGTTTAAAAAGTTTCGTCGAGTTTTAGACATCCAATTGCATCAGTTAAGTGTTAATAAAATATATAGTGTCAATCAGTTTCTAAAATGTCATTCGTAAACTTGAAATTTCAAGAAAATGGGCACATTTGGAGACTGCATGAATTAATATCGATTTTATCTTAGCATACTTGGAGTATGATAGGCCGAGTAGGCTGCCGTGAGAACGGCAAAAAATGTGTCTCAAGGAAATCTAGTTACGTAAATGGAATTATTGGCAAGTTTCCCCAAGATCATGCCGCATGTAGGATGTTCTGTAACCAGGAAGAACATGACAAATTTTTTGAGAATACGAATACAATTTTTCAGAATACAAAATTTTTGTCGCGTATACACGTATGTATATATTTCACTGTCTTGATTGAAAAGGAATTGAATAATCGACAGAAAAATATTCTATATGAAAAAATAAATAAAAACCTGTAGAATGAAATTTATTTTGAATATAATTTTTTAATACAAACACTTCAATCTACATTTTCAATTTATTATTTCTCCAACAAATATTCATATTTGTTTTTCCTCGAAAACAAGGTTTCAGATAAACAAATTTTGCTCTATGCTTCCGATTAATTTTTTCACGTAGAAAAAGTTAACACATTGCAGAATACCCTGAATTCAAATTAATTAAAAGACAACGTGTTTCCACTGAGAGAAAACAAGCGTTTCAATAAACAAATGCTTACAAGCCAAGCATTTAAGTAAATAAGAGGAACTTGTAAAAGCAACTTATTACAACATTAAATTAACGTCAGACATCATTAAGTTGACCAATAAATAAAAGTTTATCCATGGTAATGCAATTATAACAACAAAGAATTTTAATTCACTAGATTATTAAAAAGAATAACAAGAAATAGTTTATTCTTATATTCATAAAGTCAATAGAGAGTTTTTATTACTTTTCGTGCTTCAAACAACATAAAGAGGGCATTGTGATGAATTGTTTAAGTTAATGGCTTTGCTCCAGTAGCAGAATACAAAATAATTCTTTATTACTACAACATAAGAATGGCGCCTGTCTTGCACAAATAAAAATAATGTAGCTCCTGGTCGATGAAAATACAGCGTGAAAAGGAAGTACGTTAGATGTACTTTCACCTAGATTATATAAGCGACATAGCAACGCATGCAACACGCATATGTTTATTATTTAAACTTTATCTAAACAAGAGATTGTGTAATGATTAAAATCCAAAATGATATACAGCTGCCTGATAATAATAAAATTTGCAATATCCATTCAAATTGTTTAACTAAATTTTTCAGTATTTCAGTATTTCTGCTGCAGCCATAGATTGTTAATCGTAAGTTGTTTATTATCAATACCGAATTTTGTTTAAATAAATATGTATATACAGGCAATTATAAAAAGACTCAACACAGTAGCCAAATTTTACATGTTTAAAAGAACACAAAGAATATTTTGTAAACATTAAATAACGTATTGTAGCATGTTTTAGGTCTGTTTATTTTTTCATAAAAAATATCTTTTTAAGGCCTAACTAAATTTTACGTAATAAATAAAAGAATATTCATAAAATCTTTGAAACTCTTCATTTTTGCCGTTTAATATTTGAAATTTGGTAAGTGTATCGAAAATTTTGCAAACAAATGTAGCCATGATCGAATTGGTAAAATAGTTTTCCCAATAATTCTATAAAATTACTTCAAGCTTCTTATATTTACAGTATCTGGTGTAACATTATTCCTTGTGATAATATTTTCGAATTTTCTATTATGTATTAGAAAAACACAATTGAATGCACTAGTATTTGAAACTGCGAAAATTGCATGACATAGTACATATAGATTTAAGAAATGATCAATTTCTCTACCTTAGAACAGTGTCGTTTTATAAAAAGTAACGATATCTTGAGATCATTGAAGAACAAATAACAGTACGCGGGAGCGTTTATCGAGCTTTTCTCGTTTCTATTGACCTGATCGCCATAAACTGTTTCATAGCCACATCGAGTGCAATAAAAAGAATATAAGAGGAACAAAGTATTAACTGCGGGCTTCGGTTTATTCGACGGTTCGACGACCAATAATCTAGAATTTGAAAAGTGGAAAATTGTTTGGAATTGGTGTACTAAAACTTTAACTTCCGTGTCATTCGACCTGCATATCTTGATGAGAATGTTACTAAACGATTGGCGATCAAATAACATTACCATTTCATTCAGATGTTTTCAACTTTTCTACACCGTTCAGGCTAATTTGACTCGAAAGCAGACTGTTACCTTCAATATTATTTTTCAGTGCACTAATATATAAACTTATTTAACACTAACAATTTACACGCTTATAATTCAGCCGATCAAAGTGTTAAGCGAGTTCTCTTATAATGAAGGTTAGTTGATCTGATTTCAAACAGAATTTATCAAACATAAACATTACTAAATTTATTTAAATTCAAATTAAATATTGTCTTTCGGTTATCCAGTATTATTCCTCAGAGCAAACGAGTAGGTAGAATGTCTAGAATTTTCCTTTCATTTAAATAAATCATTACTGACAAAGTAATTGTGTCGATCACAGTTGAGCCCTTCGAACCTAACGCACATTATAATGTACACTGTTCCGTCACCTTTAATATATAATAAAATATTCAAAATATAACAGGCAACCATGTATACACCCTTGCTTTAAGCCTACGTTAATCAGAAAAATAGTGTACCACCATATCTGATTGAAAATAGATGCCATTACCGGTGATGCATTGAATATGAATTTTTTGTTATCAGTTAAGTGCGCGTAATTCTGTACGAGAATCAGGTCAGAAGGATTTAAAAAAGAAATCACAGGGGTTAACATCACGAAATTTGAGACACGCCCGCTATCAGTCCATCAGTTAGGCGGCGTGATTAAAAATGGTTCGCGGAAAGGTACGAAGCCGATTTTCATCGCGAAGCAACGCTATCGATCGGCCGGTAATATTCATATAAAATGCAAATGGGAATAAATTTCATAAAAATGCAGCCGGGTCGAGATTTTCCCGTGTCGAA